TAATGGGTTTAGGGTTTAGGGTTTAGGGTCTAAACTCCTTAAAGGGGGTTATATAGGGGATTCTATAGGGGACTACTTGAGGGGTTATTAAGGGGGATACTAGGAGTTTAGACCATGGCTCATATACAAGTACATAGAATTCTTGAAGCCCTACAGCTGAAAAACTCGACAGTTACTGGTGTAAAGACCCAAGAGTTGCAAATTGAACAATTCCACGGGCAAGGACTTGCAGGTGTAAATTGAGCTGTTGAAGTCCTATACCTCAAAATTTGGCATTTACAAGTGCAAGGGCTGAAGGAGTGTAAATTAACCCTTCAAGGCCTACATCTTAAAACTTGAAAGCTGCACCTGCAAGAGTTCAAAAGCTTGTAAGTTGTAGCCTACTGGGTTTAGGGTTTAGGATTTGGGTTTAGGGTCTAGGGCTCAGGGCTTCGGGCCTAACAAATGCATGGAGTTTTTCAATCCATTCAGCAACCTTTTCTTCAGACTCCAGGTTTCCTACTCGGAGCCCAAAATAATGAAGAATCAAATGGAAAGATCCAATTTCATTTTCCATGACATGGAAAATGAAATGGAAGAAGCTAGGGTTAGAAGGTATTAAATTGGTAGGTTTCCCAAAATAGGGGGACCCCAATATAGACGCCAAAATACTTTACTCCTTGTTGTAAGGACCCCCCACAAATAGTACCCCTTATTTTGGGAAACCCCTAAACCCGAAACCCCCCATATACCCCTATCATATAACCATATATAACCCCTATATTCCCTTTAAAGGTACCCCAAATTCTGGGAAACCCCTAAACCCTAGACGCAGGCATGGTAGAGCAATGTCGCATGGAGCATGCGGCTCTTCAGACTCCCTTCTATGAGCAGCGCGCTTAGTGTTCGCACTTTTGTTAGGTTTAGGATGGTGGCTATGACGCTGAGGTTAGGCTAGATTTGAAGGTCAGCTGCCAGATGGGTCCCACTGTCAGACGATCGCCGGCCCTCCCATGCTTAGCCCAGCACATCGCAAGGCTACAGTACCATTCCACAACTAGAGACCGTGTCAGGGAAGGCCTCGTACAGGAACTCGCAACATCTGTATTATGCCTCGTCTGGACAGGATCCCCATCCGGAGGCAATGTGCATAACCTGCAGTCCTGTACCACTGTCCACAGCTGAGCATAACGACCCTCCTCAGATCAGCAAGGGATGTTAGGGGCCATGTGAGCTATAGTCTAAACTCCTCAAAAGGGGTTATATGAATATGGCGGATTGTGGGGGGATTCTAGGACTTTCGGCTATAGCTCGGGTGGGGCTGCAATCTTTCATTTATCCTGCGACGACTGCGAGGCCCCACTTCCAACTGCAAGCCCAACAGCGCTTGGCCACGGCTGCCGCCTGGCCACAGACGATCAGTTGGGGGGAGCAAAAAACGGGCCACAATAGTAGTAGTAGTAGTAGTAGTAGTAGTAGTAGGCACGCGGCGGGGAAAAATACCCCCCGAACACGACACGCACGTGCTGCAGGGTCTGAAAGTGCTGC